TCTCTCTCAATATTAAAGGAAATAAGCATAAGTATCTTGGTTCAGGTAGCAATAAGGTCCATGTTCTGGTAAAATAAAAAAAATCTCTCACCAAATTATTATTATTTTTTTAAACAATTGATGGGATTGTGCCAACTTCCATTATTTGGGTAAACAGAAAAAAGTTATTTCCACCACATTCTGTGATTTACCCCCAGACTGCAAGTATCCTCTACCCAAGAGTTCAGCACACCAAAAAGAAAATGTCCTTGCAATTTCTGCACACATAGCCTGTCCCAGTCCAGTTCAGCTCAGTACAAACACCAGAAGGTAAAATTCCAATCAGGTATAAGAACATAAATCTAATTTGTGGCATAAGAAGAGATATCTAGAAAGAAGGTTTCAATATTCATCATACAGGGCTCCCGTCTGTGCCTGTAAAACTGCTACAGGCACCCAGAGGGTCCCTTATTAAAACTGGTACACATCCATTGATCTCTAAAGGAAAATTTAAAACAAAAACAACCACAAAAAAGTCATTGTATACCATCTGCTTACACTTTAGAGTTTTTCTTTATGCCACTGCAGACCAGTGATTCTCTCCATGCAGCACAGAGAAGCACAACCCAGCCACCTAGGGACTTCTGGGCCCTTTTGAGCCATGTTCTCTTGCTGCTTTGAGGAAGTACCTGTGTTGGAGATGTTCTTCAGGTGTGGCACAACCTTAGCAAAGGAGCTGTTGAGAGATCTGCTCAGACAGCAGTAGTGAAACAGTTTAATGACAAGAAGTAAATGAAAATAAAATAGAATGAAACTAGAGGAAACCGCTTCCTTTCACAGCCCTTACCTGCTCTGTGTTTAAAGTGCAGTTCTTCATTAATACCAGCAGAAGGAAGTATTTGGTTACAAACAAAATGCTGAAACCTGATAAATCAATCATAGTGTACTTTATTGAGTGTTCATTAACACAGGACAGTCAAAGAATGACATTTATTATGATTTTTTTCCCAACCGATTTATAAAAGTACTCATGTTTTCCAACTAAGGTTTTCTTTGTCACATCAGCAGAAGTGCAGGAATTATTTCTGTTTGAGAACACAAGTTCTCTCAAGGAAGTTCACTCCTGGTCAAACCAGCAGGCTTAAAAACCAGATCATCATCAGCCTTTCTGAAGGTGCTTCATGCTTTCCAGACTAGTCAGACCTTCCCTTCTCTTTCATTTACATTTCCAAAAAAAAATGAGTGTACACAGGTAGGTGTTCCAGGCAGGTACAAACAACTGGGTGCTGCAGTGGGAAAAAAAAAATTAAAAAAAAATAAAAAAATGCTGCCTTGTATGAATGTTACCAGAGAAATCTCATGATTTTTTTTTTTATTATTATTATTTATTTTTTTTTTATGGGAACTCAGATCATCCCGTGTAGCAAGCTTTGCCTTTAAATCACAAAGATGTTTACGACAGGATTAATTTCCATGAGTGGATTTTGCCTGCAAATTCTTTTTATTTTGTAGTAGTAGTAAGGCCTGCCTCTAGGCATATATCTCTGTCCCTTCTCCCTTGTAGGATTTTGATGCTTGGTAGACTGAAATAATAATCAGACACCTCTGGATAATTGTACTTAAAGCAAAAGCAGGATTAAAATACATTTTTCCATACACCTTTAGAATTTTCAGAATTAGTCCCAAAGCTGATTTGCTTTGATTTTATTTTTCACCATACTTTTCATTACTATCTCTCTCTTTCTCTCTAAATGACTCTAGAATGCTGGAAACATTTCCTCCATTTAAAACAAACAAACAAACAAAAAACATTTGATACATACAGATAAAGCAAAAGAAAAATCACATTAAAGACAGCTAACTGAGCAGAAGTGAATTGTGAATCACAAATCGTTTCTCCCTTACTACCACTTGAAGAAAGGTCAAGGACAGTTGTTCAACTTACCTAACTGCTTGCACAACCAGGCAAGAACTCACACACGTCAGTCCTTCAGACCATGACATACGTGGTTGCCATAATTTCAGAAACTTCGGGAGGAACTTCTAATCGTTATCCAACCTGTGCAAAACAACCAATTAAGAATGTCTTTGTATCACATAAACACATGGAAATTGCATTTTATAGTGAAATAGCATTTATGTGAACAAGTCCAAGCTTCCAAGAACTATTTGAAGTAGAACAACTGAATTTATATTAGTTTTGTCGTGAATGTATTAGCCAGTTTACTACGTTACCTGTGAAAATGGCATTTAAACATAAATTATCTCAAGCATTTACAAAAAAAAACTTGGATATTCAAAGCAGAACTGTACCCAGCAAGTTCTACAACACAGAAAATATGACAATTTTTCAATCAAACAAAATGTTTCACTATTGCTTATAAACCAGCTGATTAAATTATAAGTGTATGCCAGAGACTTTTCAGACCATACAAACATCTATTGGCCTACAGGCACTGCTATTTGAAAATTGTGCCCCAGCCTGCATTGTTGTTTGAAGATTGACCCTCCTACACTAAGAACTGAGTTGATACTGAAGCCTCTCCATCAGGGAACAGGCATGAAAAGATTGTTGGCATTTTCCGTAACCAGAACATATAGTTTAGTGGGAAATGTTAACTGGAATCTAATGGAAAGTACAGATTATTACTTTTTTTTCCTATGTCCATCTTGGACAACAAATTTCAACTTTGGAAGAAGTGAGAGACATTCATTCTGGGAAACAAAGAAAGAGAATGAGGATGGGAATTGAGGGATGAGGGAATCCAAAGCCATATAGAGTCTATGGTGTAATTTACACCTGTAATTCATGCCCTTTGTAGATTACTCATGATAAATAATTAAATAGACACAAAGCTTTGTGCTAAACTCATTCACTGTTGTCAGTGGTCCAAAATAGCTGAAAAGCTTTAATTATCTTCTCAGTTCATGGCTAAAGTCATGGCTATAGTAGTCTGTCTTCCTAAAACTAAACTGTCTGGTCATCTAGCAATAACAGCACATACATTCACTGAATTCTGCCACTATCTACTTTCATGCATCAAAGGTGTTCTCCTGAACTGATTTTTTCTATTCTCTCATTCAGATGCAATGAGAGATATTCTAGGGGATCAATGAGACTGAATAGAGTTGTTTTCTTGCAGTTAAAGCAGTGAGAACTAATCTTGGCCCCCCAAAATTTGTAGGATTCAGCTAGGAAAGGAATGATGAGGCCAACAGTTTTTCTTAGCAAACAAACTAGTCAGTATACAGAAATTCACAAAACACTAACGGGAAATATTTTCTCATCCTTAAAAAAGCTGTGCAACTGAAATGCAAAACTCATAAAAATTACTGATCGAAAGTAACTTCCTTTCTGTTGCATATCCACCCTGAACTTAAATATCTAAGAGATGAATGTGTGATATGGGATTGTGACCTTACTAAGGGTGTAAACTAGTCCTCATCCCTGATAATTTCATGCTCAGATTAATGCACACTGACCTTTTCAAACAGCAACTTTCTTATTTACTTTACGTAGAGGGAAAGTACCATATTCTAATTTTTAAATCCTTGGGCTGTAAGGTACAAGCAGGTGTGTCACTCACCAAACCCTCAAAGTATTGGCATTATGCAAGGTGCTTTAGTTTAAGAACATTGCACCTTGATCATCAGACTCATCTTCTTCCCTTCACTGTGAGAGTTATTTCCACAATACCAAGAGCCCAGTGTATACTGGAGAGAATTTTGGACTCATTTGGAAATCTATAGTCTTTTAAGAAAAAAGATGGATTGGACAACAAATTTATCTTGGTATAAGTTTATATATATTATCCTACCATTATGCTGCTTTTCAGGTAAGTTTAATTTATTTGCTACTTTGAGAGAAAAACATTCTCAATTAGTATTGTAAAGGTTTACATACCATTAAAGTGAAATGACTACCACTAAAAACTATAAGCAAAGATAACATTGTACTTATGCCTACATAGATACGTAAACAATACCGTTGATTTAATTTATTCAGAAATATATTGTACTGCAAGTGAAAAAAACTTTGCAGTACAATTTTGGGAGCGGCATGATTATTGTGGTCATTGATTTGTCATTTTTTTTTAGCACTCACATTTAATCAATTTTTTATCAGTTAGGAGAAAATGATGGATAGGAAAACATGGTTTTCCACCCGTAGTGAAGAATAAAAACAGGGAGGTACTGACAAAAGATGAACTGAACTGACTTCGTTTATCAAAATTCAGAACAAATTGTTACGCTTAGTTCTAGGAATCAAAGTTAATTTCATTTTCTGTTTTATTAAAGAATTAGTGAAATGTTAATGTTTACTTGACAATCTGCTTATGTACAAACTTCATTTAATTAAATTTATTTTTATTATTATTATTATTATTTTTTACCTGTGTAAAAGCACTATATGAAGAATGAAATTTTCAATGGCAACAAAATGACACAGGTCTCAGACTAGAGAATTCCCAAATCACTAAAACAATAATTCCTATAAAATAGGAATTAGCCATGTCAATAGCTCAGAATTTAAAAATTAGAAGGCATTAAACAAAAACAACAAAAAATAAACCAAGATATTTGTTTGATTTCAAGTTTGATTTCTTTCTACATGGAAAGCAGTTTTATAGTAGTTACTATTCAAAAGTACAAATTTCAATTTCTGAAATGCGTTCTGAAACATTTACAGTTAAAAGCCCAAATGACGTACAGAGTAATATTAACAAAAACACTCAAGACAAGTGAATACATGTTAAAGAAGAATAAAAACCAAGAAATGTCTTAGAAATATATATAAATACCATTGCACTCAGAAGTGGCTTAATTAATATCAGCTTACATAAAAGGAATTAACACTTTTAATAATGAATTACAAAAGAAACAAAAAATAAACATTCCTTTAAATAATACAGGCCTCCCTATGCTGGCAAATACCTCCAATATGGCTACTACTATGGAAAGGTCACTTCCTTTACACACCTCAGCTGTGACTGTGACACCTTCTCCCACTTCTCCCACAGGAGCTGCTGTCTCCACCACAGCTGTGGAAACATCTAGCAGTGAGAGCCAGGCCACATCTGTTCCTACCACGACAGCTTCTCCCACTTCCACTCCACCACAACCTTCAGCTACTCAGGCAAAAAGTACAGGCCTCTCTACCAAGTCGGAAAACTCCAGCCCAGCTCTGGGAACAACCACAGAAGTCACTTGGAGCACAGCTGGCACATCCTCTACTGCTCTGCTAAGTAGCACTCCGCCAGAGACCTTAACCACTCCAACCACCATCCTCAGGGAAACGTCCACCTCTGCTACTGGGGCAACGTCTCTTCCTGCAGCCACCTCAGCTGTGACTCTCAGCACTACTCTGGAGACGGCTTCTTCCTCACCTGGGACAACAGCTGCACCAACCACCGCTCTATCAACTGCCTCCACAGCTACAATCTCAAGCACCTCACCCACCGAGACAGGAGCTGCTGTCTCCACCACAGCTGTGGAAACATCTAGCAGTGAGAGCCAGGCCACATCTGTTCCTACCACGACAGCTTCTCCCACTTCCACTCCACCACAACCTTCAGCTACTCAGGCAAAAAGTACAGGCCTCTCTACCAAGTCGGAAAACTCCAGCCCAGCTCTGGGAACAACCACAGAAGTCACTTGGAGCACAGCTGGCACATCCTCTACTGCTCTGCTAAGTAGCACTCCGCCAGAGACCTTAACCACTCCAACCACCATCCTCAGGGAAACGTCCACCTCTGCTACTGGGGCAACGTCTCTTCCTGCAGCCACCTCAGCTGTGACTCTCAGCACTACTCTGGAGACGGCTTCTTCCTCACCTGGGACAACAGCTGCACCAACCACCGCTCTATCAACTGCCTCCACAGCTACAATCTCAAGCACCTCACCCACCGAGACAGGAGCTGCTGTCTCCACCACAGCTGTGGAAACATCTAGCAGTGAGAGCCAGGCCACATCTGTTCCTACCACGACAGCTTCTCCCACTTCCACTCCACCACAACCTTCAGCTACTCAGGCAAAAAGTACAGGCCTCTCTACCAAGTCGGAAAACTCCAGCCCAGCTCTGGGAACAACCACAGAAGTCACTTGGAGCACAGCTGGCACATCCTCTACTGCTCTGCTAAGTAGCACTCCGCCAGAGACCTTAACCACTCCAACCACCATCCTCAGGGAAACGTCCACCTCTGCTACTGGGGCAACGTCTCTTCCTGCAGCCACCTCAGCTGTGACTCTCAGCACTACTCTGGAGACGGCTTCTTCCTCACCTGGGACAACAGCTGCACCAACCACCGCTCTATCAACTGCCTCCACAGCTACAATCTCAAGCACCTCACCCACCGAGACAGGAGCTGCTGTCTCCACCACAGCTGTGGAAACATCTAGCAGTGAGAGCCAGGCCACATCTGTTCCTACCACGACAGCTTCTCCCACTTCCACTCCACCACAACCTTCAGCTACTCAGGCAAAAAGTACAGGCCTCTCTACCAAGTCCGAAAACTCCAGCCCAGCTCTGGGAACAACCACAGAAGTCACTTGGAGCACAGCTGGCACATCCTCTACTGCTCTGCTAAGTAGCACTCCGCCAGAGACCTTAACCACTCCAACCACCATCCTCAGGGAAACGTCCACCTCTGCTACTGGGGCAACGTCTCTTCCTGCAGCCACCTCAGCTGTGACTCTCAGCACTACTCTGGAGACGGCTTCTTCCTCACCTGGGACAACAGCTGCACCAACCACCGCTCTATCAACTGCCTCCACAGCTACAATCTCAAGCACCTCACCCACCGAGACAGGAGCTGCTGTCTCCACCACAGCTGTGGAAACATCTAGCAGTGAGAGCCAGGCCACATCTGTTCCTACCACGACAGCTTCTCCCACTTCCACTCCACCACAACCTTCAGCTACTCAGGCAAAAAGTACAGGCCTCTCTACCAAGTCGGAAAACTCCAGCCCAGCTCTGGGAACAACCACAGAAGTCACTTGGAGCACAGCTGGCACATCCTCTACTGCTCTGCTAAGTAGCACTCCGCCAGAGACCTTAACCACTCCAACCACCATCCTCAGGGAAACGTCCACCTCTGCTACTGGGGCAACGTCTCTTCCTGCAGCCACCTCAGCTGTGACTCTCAGCACTACTCTGGAGACGGCTTCTTCCTCACCTGGGACAACAGCTGCACCAACCACCGCTCTATCAACTGCCTCCACAGCTACAATCTCAAGCACCTCACCCACCGAGACAGGAGCTGCTGTCTCCACCACAGCTGTGGAAACATCTAGCAGTGAGAGCCAGGCCACATCTGTTCCTACCACGACAGCTTCTCCCACTTCCACTCCACCACAACCTTCAGCTACTCAGGCAAAAAGTACAGGCCTCTCTACCAAGTCGGAAAACTCCAGCCCAGCTCTGGGAACAGGAACGACGGCCTTCAGGTATGGGGGGAGCCCGAGTGTCCCTCTGCAGGTCCCATGAGTACTGGGTAGCCCGTCACGCTTCTGCTCTCCCCGCCAGCAGGATGGAGCGGGGACCATCTCCCTGCTGCCCTCCTCCCTCAGGGCCTCCCGTCGCTGCCCTCCCTCTCACTTGTGGGTCACAGCGTAGCCCCGAGAACGACTCCAAAGCCTGACCTTGCCCGGTGCTTTCTGACAAACGCCACAGGTTTAGAGGAGGCAGGAGAGGAAGGGCAGGCCGGCCGTGCCTGACGGCGGAATACAGAACACACATGCCCCACAAAGAGTCACGGAATTTCTAGGTTGGGAAAGACCTCAAGATCGTCGAGTCCAACCTCTGACCTAACACTAACAGTCCCCACTAAACCATATCCCTAAGCTCTACATCTAAACGTTTTTTAAAGACTTCCAGGGATGGTGACTCCACCACTTCCAAGGGCAGCCTGTTCCAATGTCTAACAACCCTTTCGGTAAAGAAGTTCTTCCTAAGATCCAACCTAAAACTCCCCTGACGCAACTTAAGCCCATTCCCCCTCGTCCTGTCACCAGGCACGTGGGAGAACAGACCAAACCCCACCTCGCCACAGCCTCCTTTGAGGTACCTGTAGAGAGCGATAAGGTCGCCCCTGAGCCTCCTTTTCTCCAGGCTGAACAAACCCAGCTCCCTCAGCCGCTCCTCGTAGGACTTGTTCACAGGCCCCTCACCAGCTTTGTCGCCCTTCTCTGGACAAAGAAGTGGCTGCAGGAGCCCCAGGGCCTCAGCTTGCAGTGACAGGGCACAGAAGAGGGGCGCTCAGGCACGGGTTTGTGTTTTCCAGGCCAGTGGGGCGAGGGGACAACACAGGCGTGGACGCCGTCTGCACCTACACAAAGGAGCCCTCCGCGCCAGGCTTGGACAGGGTGGGCCTTTACCACGAAGTGAGCAACAAGACCGGAGGCATCTCGCGCCTGGGCCCCTACAACCTGGACAGAGACAGCCTCTACGTCAACGGTGACCAAGGCCTCTCCCTCTGCCTTCCTGCGGCTGCCTTCCCCAGCCCTCGCCCGTCCCCTTTCCCGACTCCAGCTCATCCCTCTCTCCCCCTTTTTCCAGGTTACAACGAACCACCAGTCACACCCAGTGAGTACCTCGCAGCAACGAGATGGACCCCGAGGGCAACCAGCGCCTCGCGAACCGCTTCCCCCGGGCAGGGGTGGTTGTGGGGCTGGGCTCGCAAACCCTGTCACAAGCGGGGAGCCTGCCAGCCTTCCCCATCGTGACTAGTGCCAGGGAGGAGGGCTGGCTGGCCAGAGACCTCTGCGCTTGTCCACCCAGTGCCTCCACAGCCTGGCTCCTGCGCCATCTCACTGCGCGTCCATGCTTCTTGCAGCTCCCACTCATCCACCAACGACCACTGCAGGCCCCGAGCGTTTCACCATCAACTTCACCATCACCAATCTCCCCTACGATTCCAACCTGGCCACTCCAAACTCGGCAAGGCTCAACACTACCCGGAGAGTCATGACCACCTTGGTAGGTAGCCCACGGCAGTGCCACGGCCAGGCCTCCTGCTGGCCCCTGCACCGGCTGGAGTGCAGGGAGAGGCACAGGGCTCACTTGTGAAACCTCTCTCGTTGGCAGCTCAACCGCCTTCTGAAGGATAGCAGCATTGGCCCCGCTTTTCTTGCTTGTGGAACGACGGCCTTCAGGTATGGGGGGAGCCCGAGTGTCCCTCTGCAGGTCCCATGAGTACTGGGTAGCCCGTCACGCTTCTGCTCTCCCCGCCAGCAGGATGGAGCGGGGACCATCTCCCTGCTGCCCTCCTCCCTCAGGGCCTCCCGTCGCTGCCCTCCCTCTCACTTGTGGGTCACAGCGTAGCCCCGAGAACGACTCCAAAGCCTGACCTTGCCCGGTGCTTTCTGACAAACGCCACAGGTTTAGAGGAGGCAGGAGAGGAAGGGCAGGCCGGCCGTGCCTGACGGCGGAATACAGAACACACATGCCCCACAAAGAGTCACGGAATTTCTAGGTTGGGAAAGACCTCAAGATCGTCGAGTCCAACCTCTGACCTAACACTAACAGTCCCCACTAAACCATATCCCTAAGCTCTACATCTAAACGTTTTTTAAAGACTTCCAGGGATGGTGACTCCACCACTTCCAAGGGCAGCCTGTTCCAATGTCTAACAACCCTTTCGGTAAAGAAGTTCTTCCTAAGATCCAACCTAAAACTCCCCTGACGCAACTTAAGCCCATTCCCCCTCGTCCTGTCACCAGGCACGTGGGAGAACAGACCAAACCCCACCTCGCCACAGCCTCCTTTGAGGTACCTGTAGAGAGCGATAAGGTCGCCCCTGAGCCTCCTTTTCTCCAGGCTGAACAAACCCAGCTCCCTCAGCCGCTCCTCGTAGGACTTGTTCACAGGCCCCTCACCAGCTTTGTCGCCCTTCTCTGGACAAAGAAGTGGCTGCAGGAGCCCCAGGGCCTCAGCTTGCAGTGACAGGGCACAGAAGAGGGGCGCTCAGGCACGGGTTTGTGTTTTCCAGGCCAGTGGGGCGAGGGGACAACACAGGCGTGGACGCCGTCTGCACCTACACAAAGGAGCCCTCCGCGCCAGGCTTGGACAGGGTGGGCCTTTACCACGAAGTGAGCAACAAGACCGGAGGCATCTCGCGCCTGGGCCCCTACAACCTGGACAGAGACAGCCTCTACGTCAACGGTGACCAAGGCCTCTCCCTCTGCCTTCCTGCGGCTGCCTTCCCCAGCCCTCGCCCGTCCCCTTTCCCGACTCCAGCTCATCCCTCTCTCCCCCTTTTTCCAGGTTACAACGAACCACCAGTCACACCCAGTGAGTACCTCGCAGCAACGAGATGGACCCCGAGGGCAACCAGCGCCTCGCGAACCGCTTCCCCCGGGCAGGGGTGGTTGTGGGGCTGGGCTCGCAAACCCTGTCACAAGCGGGGAGCCTGCCAGCCTTCCCCATCGTGACTAGTGCCAGGGAGGAGGGCTGGCTGGCCAGAGACCTCTGCGCTTGTCCACCCAGTGCCTCCACAGCCTGGCTCCTGCGCCATCTCACTGCGCGTCCATGCTTCTTGCAGCTCCCACTCATCCACCAACGACCACTGCAGGCCCCGAGCGTTTCACCATCAACTTCACCATCACCAATCTCCCCTACGATTCCAACCTGGCCACTCCAAACTCGGCAAGGCTCAACACTACCCGGAGAGTCATGACCACCTTGGTAGGTAGCCCACGGCAGTGCCACGGCCAGGCCTCCTGCTGGCCCCTGCACCGGCTGGAGTGCAGGGAGAGGCACAGGGCTCACTTGTGAAACCTCTCTCGTTGGCAGCTCAACCGCCTTCTGAAGGATAGCAGCATTGGCCCCGCTTTTCTTGCTTGTGGAACGACGGCCTTCAGGTATGGGGGGAGCCCGAGTGTCCCTCTGCAGGTCCCATGAGTACTGGGTAGCCCGTCACGCTTCTGCTCTCCCCGCCAGCAGGATGGAGCGGGGACCATCTCCCTGCTGCCCTCCTCCCTCAGGGCCTCCCGTCGCTGCCCTCCCTCTCACTTGTGGGTCACAGCGTAGCCCCGAGAACGACTCCAAAGCCTGACCTTGCCCGGTGCTTTCTGACAAACGCCACAGGTTTAGAGGAGGCAGGAGAGGAAGGGCAGGCCGGCCGTGCCTGACGGCGGAATACAGAACACACATGCCCCACAAAGAGTCACGGAATTTCTAGGTTGGGAAAGACCTCAAGATCGTCGAGTCCAACCTCTGACCTAACACTAACAGTCCCCACTAAACCATATCCCTAAGCTCTACATCTAAACGTTTTTTAAAGACTTCCAGGGATGGTGACTCCACCACTTCCAAGGGCAGCCTGTTCCAATGTCTAACAACCCTTTCGGTAAAGAAGTTCTTCCTAAGATCCAACCTAAAACTCCCCTGACGCAACTTAAGCCCATTCCCCCTCGTCCTGTCACCAGGCACGTGGGAGAACAGACCAAACCCCACCTCGCCACAGCCTCCTTTGAGGTACCTGTAGAGAGCGATAAGGTCGCCCCTGAGCCTCCTTTTCTCCAGGCTGAACAAACCCAGCTCCCTCAGCCGCTCCTCGTAGGACTTGTTCACAGGCCCCTCACCAGCTTTGTCGCCCTTCTCTGGACAAAGAAGTGGCTGCAGGAGCCCCAGGGCCTCAGCTTGCAGTGACAGGGCACAGAAGAGGGGCGCTCAGGCACGGGTTTGTGTTTTCCAGGCCAGTGGGGCGAGGGGACAACACAGGCGTGGACGCCGTCTGCACCTACACAAAGGAGCCCTCCGCGCCAGGCTTGGACAGGGTGGGCCTTTACCACGAAGTGAGCAACAAGACCGGAGGCATCTCGCGCCTGGGCCCCTACAACCTGGACAGAGACAGCCTCTACGTCAACGGTGACCAAGGCCTCTCCCTCTGCCTTCCTGCGGCTGCCTTCCCCAGCCCTCGCCCGTCCCCTTTCCCGACTCCAGCTCATCCCTCTCTCCCCCTTTTTCCAGGTTACAACGAACCACCAGTCACACCCAGTGAGTACCTCGCAGCAACGAGATGGACCCCGAGGGCAACCAGCGCCTCGCGAACCGCTTCCCCCGGGCAGGGGTGGTTGTGGGGCTGGGCTCGCAAACCCTGTCACAAGCGGGGAGCCTGCCAGCCTTCCCCATCGTGACTAGTGCCAGGGAGGAGGGCTGGCTGGCCAGAGACCTCTGCGCTTGTCCACCCAGTGCCTCCACAGCCTGGCTCCTGCGCCATCTCACTGCGCGTCCATGCTTCTTGCAGCTCCCACTCATCCACCAACGACCACTGCAGGCCCCGAGCGTTTCACCATCAACTTCACCATCACCAATCTCCCCTACGATTCCAACCTGGCCACTCCAAACTCGGCAAGGCTCAACACTACCCGGAGAGTCATGACCACCTTGGTAGGTAGCCCACGGCAGTGCCACGGCCAGGCCTCCTGCTGGCCCCTGCACCGGCTGGAGTGCAGGGAGAGGCACAGGGCTCACTTGTGAAACCTCTCTCGTTGGCAGCTCAACCGCCTTCTGAAGGATAGCAGCATTGGCCCCGCTTTTCTTGCTTGTGGAACGACGGCCTTCAGGTATGGGGGGAGCCCGAGTGTCCCTCTGCAGGTCCCATGAGTACTGGGTAGCCCGTCACGCTTCTGCTCTCCCCGCCAGCAGGATGGAGCGGGGACCATCTCCCTGCTGCCCTCCTCCCTCAGGGCCTCCCGTCGCTGCCCTCCCTCTCACTTGTGGGTCACAGCGTAGCCCCGAGAACGACTCCAAAGCCTGACCTTGCCCGGTGCTTTCTGACAAACGCCACAGGTTTAGAGGAGGCAGGAGAGGAAGGGCAGGCCGGCCGTGCCTGACGGCGGAATACAGAACACACATGCCCCACAAAGAGTCACGGAATTTCTAGGTTGGGAAAGACCTCAAGATCGTCGAGTCCAACCTCTGACCTAACACTAACAGTCCCCACTAAACCATATCCCTAAGCTCTACATCTAAACGTTTTTTAAAGACTTCCAGGGATGGTGACTCCACCACTTCCAAGGGCAGCCTGTTCCAATGTCTAACAACCCTTTCGGTAAAGAAGTTCTTCCTAAGATCCAACCTAAAACTCCCCTGACGCAACTTAAGCCCATTCCCCCTCGTCCTGTCACCAGGCACGTGGGAGAACAGACCAAACCCCACCTCGCCACAGCCTCCTTTGAGGTACCTGTAGAGAGCGATAAGGTCGCCCCTGAGCCTCCTTTTCTCCAGGCTGAACAAACCCAGCTCCCTCAGCCGCTCCTCGTAGGACTTGTTCACAGGCCCCTCACCAGCTTTGTCGCCCTTCTCTGGACAAAGAAGTGGCTGCAGGAGCCCCAGGGCCTCAGCTTGCAGTGACAGGGCACAGAAGAGGGGCGCTCAGGCACGGGTTTGTGTTTTCCAGGCCAGTGGGGCGAGGGGACAACACAGGCGTGGACGCCGTCTGCACCTACACAAAGGAGCCCTCCGCGCCAGGCTTGGACAGGGTGGGCCTTTACCACGAAGTGAGCAACAAGACCGGAGGCATCTCGCGCCTGGGCCCCTACAACCTGGACAGAGACAGCCTCTACGTCAACGGTGACCAAGGCCTCTCCCTCTGCCTTCCTGCGGCTGCCTTCCCCAGCCCTCGCCCGTCCCCTTTCCCGACTCCAGCTCATCCCTCTCTCCCCCTTTTTCCAGGTTACAACGAACCACCAGTCACACCCAGTGAGTACCTCGCAGCAACGAGATGGACCCCGAGGGCAACCAGCGCCTCGCGAACCGCTTCCCCCGGGCAGGGGTGGTTGTGGGGCTGGGCTCGCAAACCCTGTCACAAGCGGGGAGCCTGCCAGCCTTCCCCATCGTGACTAGTGCCAGGGAGGAGGGCTGGCTGGCCAGAGACCTCTGCGCTTGTCCACCCAGTGCCTCCACAGCCTGGCTCCTGCGCCATCTCACTGCGCGTCCATGCTTCTTGCAGCTCCCACTCATCCACCAACGACCACTGCAGGCCCCGAGCGTTTCACCATCAACTTCACCATCACCAATCTCCCCTACGATTCCAACCTGGCCACTCCAAACTCGGCAAGGCTCAACACTACCCGGAGAGTCATGACCACCTTGGTAGGTAGCCCACGGCAGTGCCACGGCCAGGCCTCCTGCTGGCCCCTGCACCGGCTGGAGTGCAGGGAGAGGCACAGGGCTCACTTGTGAAACCTCTCTCGTTGGCAGCTCAACCGCCTTCTGAAGGATAGCAGCATTGGCCCCGCTTTTCTTGCTTGTGGAACGACGGCCTTCAGGTATGGGGGGAGCCCGAGTGTCCCTCTGCAGGTCCCATGAGTACTGGGTAGCCCGTCACGCTTCTGCTCTCCCCGCCAGCAGGATGGAGCGGGGACCATCTCCCTGCTGCCCTCCTCCCTCAGGGCCTCCCGTCGCTGCCCTCCCTCTCACTTGTGGGTCACAGCGTAGCCCCGAGAACGACTCCAAAGCCTGACCTTGCCCGGTGCTTTCTGACAAACGCCACAGGTTTAGAGGAGGCAGGAGAGGAAGGGCAGGCCGGCCGTGCCTGACGGCGGAATACAGAACACACATGCCCCACAAAGAGTCACGGAATTTCTAGGTTGGGAAAGACCTCAAGATCGTCGAGTCCAACCTCTGACCTAACACTAACAGTCCCCACTAAACCATATCCCTAAGCTCTACATCTAAACGTTTTTTAAAGACTTCCAGGGATGGTGACTCCACCACTTCCAAGGGCAGCCTGTTCCAATGTCTAACAACCCTTTCGGTAAAGAAGTTCTTCCTAAGATCCAACCTAAAACTCCCCTGACGCAACTTAAGCCCATTCCCCCTCGTCCTGTCACCAGGCACGTGGGAGAACAGACCAAACCCCACCTCGCCACAGCCTCCTTTGAGGTACCTGTAGAGAGCGATAAGGTCGCCCCTGAGCCTCCTTTTCTCCAGGCTGAACAAACCCAGCTCCCTCAGCCGCTCCTCGTAGGACTTGTTCACAGGCCCCTCACCAGCTTTGTCGCCCTTCTCTGGACAAAGAAGTGGCTGCAGGAGCCCCAGGGCCTCAGCTTGCAGTGACAGGGCACAGAAGAGGGGCGCTCAGGCACGGGTTTGTGTTTTCCAGGCCAGTGGGGCGAGGGGACAACACAGGCGTGGACGCCGTCTGCACCTACACAAAGGAGCCCTCCGCGCCAGGCTTGGACAGGGTGGGCCTTTACCACGAAGTGAGCAACAAGACCGGAGGCATCTCGCGCCTGGGCCCCTACAACCTGGACAGAGACAGCCTCTACGTCAACGGTGACCAAGGCCTCTCCCTCTGCCTTCCTGCGGCTGCCTTCCCCAGCCCTCGCCCGTCCCCTTTCCCGACTCCAGCTCATCCCTCTCTCCCCCTTTTTCCAGGTTACAACGAACCACCAGTCACACCCAGTGAGTACCTCGCAGCAACGAGATGGACCCCGAGGGCAACCAGCGCCTCGCGAACCGCTTCCCCCGGGCAGGGGTGGTTGTGGGGCTGGGCTCGCAAACCCTGTCACAAGCGGGGAGCCTGCCAGCCTTCCCCATCGTGACTAGTGCCAGGGAGGAGGGCTGGCTGGCCAGAGACCTCTGCGCTTGTCCACCCAGTGCCTCCACAGCCTGGCTCCTGCGCCATCTCACTGCGCGTCCATGCTTCTTGCAGCTCCCACTCATCCACCAACGACCACTGCAGGCCCCGAGCGTTTCACCATCAACTTCACCATCACCAATCTCCCCTACGATTCCAACCTGGCCACTCCAAACTCGGCAAGGCTCAACACTACCCGGAGAGTCATGACCACCTTGGTAGGTAGCCCACGGCAGTGCCACGGCCAGGCCTCCTGCTGGCCCCTGCACCGGCTGGAGTGCAGGGAGAGGCACAGGGCTCACTTGTGAAACCTCTCTCGTTGGCAGCTCAACCGCCTTCTGAAGGATAGCAGCATTGGCCCCGCTTTTCTTGCTTGTGGAACGACGGCCTTCAGGTATGGGGGGAGCCCGAGTGTCCCTCTGCAGGTCCCATGAGTACTGGGTAGCCCGTCACGCTTCTGCTCTCCCCGCCAGCAGGATGGAGCGGGGACCATCTCCCTGCTGCCCTCCTCCCTCAGGGCCTCCCGTCGCTGCCCTCCCTCTCACTTGTGGGTCACAGCGTAGCCCCGAGAACGACTCCAAAGCCTGACCTTGCCCGGTGCTTTCTGACAAACGCCACAGGTTTAGAGGAGGCAGGAGAGGAAGGGCAGGCCGGCCGTGCCTGACGGCGGAATACAGAACACACATGCCCCACAAAGAGTCACGGAATTTCTAGGTTGGGAAAGACCTCAAGATCGTCGAGTCCAACCTCTGACCTAACACTAACAGTCCCCACTAAACCATATCCCTAAGCTCTACATCTAAACGTTTTTTAAAGACTTCCAGGGATGGTGACTCCACCACTTCCAAGGGCAGCCTGTTCCAATGTCTAACAACCCTTTCGGTAAAGAAGTTCTTCCTAAGATCCAACCTAAAACTCCCCTGACGCAACTTAAGCCCATTCCCCCTCGTCCTGTCACCAGGCACGTGGGAGAACAGACCAAACCCCACCTCGCCACAGCCTCCTTTGAGGTACCTGTAGAGAGCGATAAGGTCGCCCCTGAGCCTCCTTTTCTCCAGGCTGAACAAACCCAGCTCCCTCAGCCGCTCCTCGTAGGACTTGTTCTACAGGCCCCTCACCAGCTTTGTCGCCCTTCTCTGGACAAAGAAGTGGCTGCAGGAGCCCCAGGGCCTCAGCTTGCAGTGACAGGGCACAGAAGAGGGGCGCTCAGGCACGGGTTTGTGTTTTCCAGGCCAGTGGGGCGAGGGGACAACACAGGCGTGGACGCCGTCTGCACCTACACAAAGGAGCCCTCCGCGCCAGGCTTGGACAGGGTGGGCCTTTACCACGAAGTGAGCAACAAGACCGGAGGCATCTCGCGCCTGGGCCCCTACAACCTGGACAGAGACAGCCTCTACGTCAACGGTGACCAAGGCCTCTCCCTCTGCCTTCCTGCGGCTGCCTTCCCCAGCCCTCGCCCGTCCCCTTTCCCGACTCCAGCTCATCCCTCTCTCCCCCTTTTTCCAGGTTACAACGAACCACCAGTCACACCCAGTGAGTACCTCGCAGCAACGAGATGGACCCCGAGGGCAACCAGCGCCTCGCGAACCGCTTCCCCCGGGCAGGGGTGGTTGTGGGGCTGGGCTCGCAAACCCTGTCACAAGCGGGGAGCCTGCCAGCCTTCCCCATCGTGACTAGTGCCAGGGAGGAGGGCTGGCTGGCCAGAGACCTCTGCGCTTGTCCACCCAGTGCCTCCACAGCCTGGCTCCTGCGCCATCTCACTGCGCGTCCATGCTTCTTGCAGCTCCCACTCATCCACCAACGACCACTGCAGGCCCCGAGCGTTTCACCATCAACTTCACCATCACCAATCTCCCCTACGATTCCAACCTGGCCACTCCAAACTCGGCAAGGCTCAACACTACCCGGAGAGTCATGACCACCTTGGTAGGTAGCCCACGGCAGTGCCACGGCCAGGCCTCCTGCTGGCCCCTGCACCGGCTGGAGTGCAGGGAGAGGCACAGGGCTCACTTGTGAAACCTCTCTCGTTGGCAGCTCAACCGCCTTCTGAAGGATAGCAGCATTGGCCCCGCTTTTCTTGCTTGTGGAACGACGGCCTTCAGGTATGGGGGGAGCCCGAGTGTCCCTCTGCAGGTCCCATGAGTACTGGGTAGCCCGTCACGCTTCTGCTCTCCCCGCCAGCAGGATGGAGCGGGGACCATCTCCCTGCTGCCCTCCTCCCTCAGGGCCTCCCGTCGCTGCCCTCCCTCTCACTTGTGGGTCACAGCGTAGCCCCGAGAACGACTCCAAAGCCTGACCTTGCCCGGTGCTTTCTGACAAACGCCACAGGTTTAGAGGAGGCAGGAGAGGAAGGGCAGGCCGGCCGTGCCTGACGGCGGAATACAGAACACACATGCCCCACAAAGAGTCACGGAATTTCTAGGTTGGGAAAGACCTCAAGATCGTCGAGTCCAACCTCTGACCTAACACTAACAGTCCCCACTAAACCATATCCCTAAGCTCTACATCTAAACGTTTTTTAAAGACTTCCAGGGATGGTGACTCCACCACTTCCAAGGGCAGCCTGTTCCAATGTCTAACAACCCTTTCGGTAAAGAAGTTCTTCCTAAGATCCAACCTAAAACTCCCCTGACGCAACTTAAGCCCATTCCCCCTCGTCCTGTCACCAGGCACGTGGGAGAACAGACCAAACCCCACCTCGCCACAGCCTCCTTTGAGGTACCTGTAGAGAGCGATAAGGTCGCCCCTGAGCCTCCTTTTCTCCAGGCTGAACAAACCCAGCTCCCTCAGCCGCTCCTCGTAGGACTTGTTCACAGGCCCCTCACCAGCTTTGTCGCCCTTCTCTGGACAAAGAAGTGGCTGCAGGAGCCCCAGGGCCTCAGCTTGCAGTGACAGGGCACAGAAGAGGGGCGCTCAGGCACGGGTTTGTGTTTTCCAGGCCAGTGGGGCGAGGGGACAACACAGGCGTGGACGCCGTCTGCACCTACACAAAGGAGCCCTCCGCGCCAGGCTTGGACAGGGTGGGCCTTTACCACGAAGTGAGCAACAAGACCGGAGGCATCTCGCGCCTGGGCCCCTACAACCTGGACAGAGACAGCCTCTACGTCAACGGTGACCAAGGCCTCTCCCTCTGCCTTCCTGCGGCTGCCTTCCCCAGCCCTCGCCCGTCCCCTTTCCCGACTCCAGCTCATCCCTCTCTCCCCCTTTTTCCAGGTTACAACGAACCACCAGTCACACCCAGTGAGTACCTCGCAGCAACGAGATGGACCCCGAGGGCAACCAGCGCCTCGCGAACCGCTTCCCCCGGGCAGGGGTGGTTGTGGGGCTGGGCTCGCAAACCCTGTCACAAGCGGGGAGCCTGCCAGCCTTCCCCATCGTGACTAGTGCCAGGGAGGAGGGCTGGCTGGCCAGAGACCTCTGCGCTTGTCCACCCAGTGCCTCCACAGCCTGGCTCCTGCGCCATCTCACTGCGCGTCCATGCTTCTTGCAGCTCCCACTCATCCACCAACGACCACTGCAGGCCCCGAGCGTTTCACCATCAACTTCACCATCACCAATCTCCCCTACGATTCCAACCTGGCCACTCCAAACTCGGCAAGGCTCAACACTACCCGGAGAGTCATGACCACCTTGGTAGGTAGCCCACGGCAGTGCCACGGCCAGGCCTCCTGCTGGCCCCTGCACCGGCTGGAGTGCAGGGAGAGGCACAGGGCTCACTTGTGAAACCTCTCTCGTTGGCAGCTCAACCGCCTTCTGAAGGATAGCAGCATTGGCCCCGCTTTTCTTGCTTGTGGAACGACGGCCTTCAGGTATGGGGGGAGCCCGAGTGTCCCTCTGCAGGTCCCATGAGTACTGGGTAGCCCGTCACGCTTCTGCTCTCCCCGCCAGCAGGATGGAGCGGGGACCATCTCCCTGCTGCCCTCCTCCCTCAGGGCCTCCCGTCGCTGCCCTCCCTCTCACTTGTGGGTCACAGCGTAGCCCCGAGAACGACTCCAAAGCCTGACCTTGCCCGGTGCTTTCTGACAAACGCCACAGGTTTAGAGGAGGCAGGAGAGGAAGGGCAGGCCGGCCGTGCCTGACGGCGGAATACAGAACACACATGCCCCACAAAGAGTCACGGAATTTCTAGGTTGGGAAAGACCTCAAGATCGTCGAGTCCAACCTCTGACCTAACACTAACAGTCCCCACTAAACCATATCCCTAAGCTCTACATCTAAACGTTTTTTAAAGACTTCCAGGGATGGTGACTCCACCACTTCCAAGGGCAGCCTGTTCCAATGTCTAACAACCCTTTCGGTAAAGAAGTTCTTCCTAAGATCCAACCTAAAACTCCCCTGACGCAACTTAAGCCCATTCCCCCTCGTCCTGTCACCAGGCACGTGGGAGAACAGACCAAACCCCACCTCGCCACAGCCTCCTTTGAGGTACCTGTAGAGAGCGATAAGGTCGCCCCTGAGCCTCCTTTTCTCCAGGCTGAACAAACCCAGCTCCCTCAGCCGCTCCTCGTAGGACTTGTTCGACAGGCCCCTCACCAGCTTTGTCGCCCTTCTCTGGACAAAGAAGTGGCTGCAGGAGCCCCAGGGCCTCAGCTTGCAGTGACAGGGCACAGAAGAGGGGCGCTCAGGCACGGGTTTGTGTTTTCCAGGCCAGTGGGGCGAGGGGACAACACAGGCGTGGACGCCGTCTGCACCTACACAAAGGAGCCCTCCGCGCCAGGCTTGGACAGGGTGGGCCTTTACCACGAAGTGAGCAACAAGACCGGAGGCATCTCGCGCCTGGGCCCCTACAACCTGGACAGAGACAGCCTCTACGTCAACGGTGACCAAGGCCTCTCCCTCTGCCTTCCTGCGGCTGCCTTCCCCAGCCCTCGCCCGTCCCCTTTCCCGACTCCAGCTCATCCCTCTCTCCCCCTTTTTCCAGGTTACAACGAACCACCAGTCACACCCAGTGAGTACCTCGCAGCAACGAGATGGACCCCGAGGGCAACCAGCGCCTCGCGAACCGCTTCCCCCGGGCAGGGGTGGTTGTGGGGCTGGGCTCGCAAACCCTGTCACAAGCGGGGAGCCTGCCAGCCTTCCCCATCGTGACTAGTGCCAGGGAGGAGGGCTGGCTGGCCAGAGACCTCTGCGCTTGTCCACCCAGTGCCTCCACAGCCTGGCTCCTGCGCCATCTCACTGCGCGTCCATGCTTCTTGCAGCTCCCACTCATCCACCAACGACCACTGCAGGCCCCGAGCGTTTCACCATCAACTTCACCATCACCAATCTCCCCTACGATTCCAACCTGGCCACTCCAAACTCGGCAAGGCTCAACACTACCCGGAGAGTCATGACCACCTTGGTAGGTAGCCCACGGCAGTGCCACGGCCAGGCCTCCTGCTGGCCCCTGCACCGGCTGGAGTGCAGGGAGAGGCACAGGGCTCACTTGTGAAACCTCTCTCGTTGGCAGCTCAACCGCCTTCTGAAGGATAGCAGCATTGGCCCCGCTTTTCTTGCTTGTGGAACGACGGCCTTCAGGTATGGGGGGAGCCCGAGTGTCCCTCTGCAGGTCCCATGAGTACTGGGTAGCCCGT